GAGCCTCCTCGGCTTGGTCGCGTTGGGTGGGAGCCGGCGGCTGGAGGGGCAGCAGCCCCTTGGGCAGCGCAGCGGCAGCACGGTCCCAGCAGGGTGCCCCATCCCCAAGCAGTACCTGTGACATGGTAGATGTCCCCAAATGTGGGTGTCTCCAGAGGAGCTTTGCACTCTGTTCCTGGAAGAAAAACAAAAGTAAAGCGAAACCCTTCTACACTGCTGCTTACCCACCTCTCCACGGTGGGGGGAGACAGCAGTGCTGCTCCCTGGCTCCCCGTCCCCTGCAAGAGGGGGACAGACCCAGGGGAGCCCATATGAGGAGCAGGGCTGGGAGAGCTCCCGCCTGCCTGGGCAGGGAAGAGACCAGGGGTCCCCAAGCTGGGGGTCCCCACCCCTCTGCCAGCCCTCTGGCTGCCTCAGAGCTCCGCCATGCACCCACAAACTCCCTGGGGTGCACCCAGCTCAGGGGCACCCCAAAGCCCCCATGCACACCCCAGGACGTGAGGGGCAACCGCATGCACCCCAGTATGCCATGCGCAGAGCGTGCCCGCTGCCCCTGCGCTGCTGCAGGCACGGGGACAGGGACAGAGCAGCCCCCTCCCGGGGCGAGGACCCCCCCGGCAGCCCAGGACCCTCGCCGTGTCCAGGCTAAGGGACATAATAGCATCACCCCGCGATGGGGGCACGGCATCCGTCCCCCCTGCCCGAAGCTCAGCCAGGGCAGGTGCTCACCCAGCAGCACGGCAGCCCCCAGCACCAGCAGCTGCCCCAGCCCCTCCATCCTCCACACCCCAGCCCACACTGCTGCTCTGCACCCACGGGTGGCTTAAATACCCCTGGTGGGCGGGCAGGGAGCTGCCGGCAGCCAACGGGCAAAGCCCCGTCCTTCCCATGCCTGGGCCTAGACCAAGGGGGAGGCGTGGCTTTATGTTGCCCCCCTGCCCCCCCCATGGGCACCCATGGGTGCCTGTCCCACCAGCAGCAGGGTGGGTGCTGATGTCGTGTGCTTGCAGGGCTCAGGCTGGCAGGAGCAGGGTGGCACCCAGACCCCTGTGGGCACAGGGGGCTCCATGGCAGGGCCATGGGTTGGGGGCTTGGTGGTGGGTGCTGGGGGGGGTCCCTGCACCCCCACCCACCCTGCATGGCGGTTTGCAGCCAGGCTTTGCTGCAGGCAGCGCGCTGCGAGCGGGGGGAGCTTCTGCAAAACCCTGGGGCAAGGAGGTGCAGTGAGACCCTGCCAGGCACCCCAAAGCCCCTCTGGGTGCTCCCCGCCCTCCTGGGATAGGAGGGGAGCCTTTTCCATCCCTGCATCCTTCTGGGTATACCATCAGGGCAAGCCCAGGACTGCAATTAGGAGGTTTTAATGGGAAAAAGGGGAGAGATGCAGATGAAATGTCAGGATCTACATGGAAAAACAGACCCGGGGAGGAGAGCAGCACGGTCGCCACCGCAGAGCGGCCTTCACCCCTCCCGCTTGCTGCACGTCCAGCTGGCCCCCAGCCCAAGGTGACGGCAAGCGCCCACGGGGCCGCCCGAGCCCAAAACAAAGCCGATAAGGGCTCAGTGCGGGCTGGCTGCACGTGCCACTGGGGACGAGTCAGGCCCAATTTGGCTGTGCCCCTGGGTGCGGGGCTGGGGTGATGCACCCCATGCTGCAGCACCTCCCCAGGGACTCCCACCACTGCCATCACAGCACGCGGGTCTGGAGGTGCATCCCACCCCAAGGATGTACCGGCAGCCATGGGAGACCACCAGGGTGAGGGCAGAGAGACCTTCCCCACCCCGTCTGCAGGATCCTCCTTCACCCACCCCCTCTCCCCAGAGGGCTCGAGTCCAAACCAGGAGCACCCAGATGAGCCATGGTCACAGTGTAAAGTGCTTTTTCCCTGGAGAGGAGCAGCCCCGCAGGGTGAAGGGGAGCCTGGCTCCTGGCCTTGGCAAACACCGCCGGTGACATCCCCACCCGCAGCCACAACAGGGACCGGGGCAGTGGGACAGAGGGTGGATGCCTTCCCCCCTCCCTGACCCCCTGCGCCAGGAATTTCTCATCTCAGCAGAAATCCCTGGGGTTGTTTGTGCTCCACCTCGAGAGAC